CACTAAACCATGTCCCTAAGCACCACATCTGCACATCTTTTCAATACCCCCAGGGATGGGGATTCAACTGCTTCCCTGTACAGCCTGTTCCACCCCTTTCCGTGAAGAAATTTTTCCTAATTTCCAACCTAAACCTCCCATGGTGCAGCTTGAGCCCATTTCCTCTTGCCCTATTGCTAGCTACTTGGGAGAAGAGCCCAACACCCACCTCACTACAACCTCCTTTCAGGTAGTTGTAGAGAGCGATAAGGTCTCCCCTCAGCCTCCTCTTCTCCAGGCTAAACAACCCCAGTTCCCTCAGCCGCTCCTCATAAGGCCTGTGCTCCAGACCCTTCACCAGCCTTGTTGCCCTTCTCTGGACACGCTCCAGCACCTCAATGTCTTTCTTGCAGTGAGGGGCCCAAAACTGGACACAGTATTCCAGGTGTGGCCTCACCAGTGCCGAGTACAGGGGGACAATCACCTCCCTGCTCCTGCTGGCCACACTATTCCTGATACAAGCCAGGATGCTGTTGGCCTTCTTGGCCACCTGGGCACACTGCTGGCTCATGTTCAGCCAGCTGTTGACCAACACCCCCAGGTCCTTTTTGGCCAGGCAGCTTTCCAGCCCCTCTTCCCAAAGGCTGTAGCGTTGCATGGGGTTGTTGTGACCCAAGTGCAGGACCTGGCACTTGGCCTTGTTGAACCTCATACAACTGGCCTTGGCCCATTGACTCAGCCTGTCCAGATCCCTCTGTAGAGCCTTCCTACCCTCAAGCAGGTCAATGCTCCCACCCAGCTTGGTGTTGTCTGCAAACTTACTGAGAGTGCACTCGATCCCCTCATCCAGATCATTGATAAAGATATTAAACAGAACTGGCCTAATACTGAGCCCTGGGGAACACCACTTGTGACCGTCCACCAGCTGGGTTTAACTCTATTCACCGCAGCTCTTTGGGCATGGCCACCCAGCCAGTTTTCTACCCTGCAAAGAGTACACCTGTCCAAGCCATGAGCCACCAGCTTCCTTAGGCGAATGCTGTGGGAGGCGGTGTCAAAGGTTTTACTAAAGTCTTGGTAGACAATGTCCACAGCCTTTCCCTCATCCGTTAAGTGGGTCACCTTGTCATAGGAGATCAGGTTAGTCAAGCAGGACCTGCCTTTCATAAACTCAGGATGATCTGCTCCATGACCTTCCCCGGCACTGAGGTCAGGCTGACAGGCCTGTAGTTCCCCAGATCCTCCTTCCAGCTCTTGTAGATGGGTGTCATGTTTGCTAACCTCCAGTCAACTGGGATCTCCCTGGTTAGCCAGGACTGTTGATAAAGGATTCAAAGTTCAATGTATGCCTGATAAATGAACTAAAAAAAAAAAAAAAAGGCCAAGTGTGAAATGCGTGGAGGCAGGTCACTTTTTCAGCTGGCCAGTAGTTCTGGTATTGTAGCAGTCACTGGAACAGCTAGCAAGCAGCTGCAGATTTGCCCTGTAGAAGAGAAGTATGGTAGTTTCCCAGTGGGTAGTATCTGAGCATGACCTCTGTTTTGCTTAATCATTATTTTCTAGTTAGTTATGCTGTGTTTTCTTCTGGATAATTTTCACCTGTAAAAAATGAACATTTTTTATCCTTTTTCTGGGATTGAAAAGCTAATAAAGATGAGAAGCTAATAAAGATGAAATTCCTTTGTTGAAGCAGCCCAAAGAACTTTTTTTTGTCAGAATTTTTCTACATTCTCATAACTTTTCCAACAGAAAACAGTGATTTGAATGGCAGTTAGATGAAGGTACTGGCTTCATATTACGGTGAAGGTCACATTATAAATGGACTGATAAGTATATGGAAGTTTCATTTCTGCTTTGCTACTGGGGAGGGGTTTGTGGGGCTTAGCGACATGGAAACAGGAGTTTTCTTACCCAAATTGGAGGGGATGAACAAAGTCACATGCACTGTTATTCATACATGAATCCAGAATTGTTTGTCTGGGGATATTCTACCTCAGCAAGGCCAGTTTGCTTCAGCTCCTTTAGTGTCTTGATCCCAAACTTGAAAATACCCACAGTATTTAAACTTTATGGTCAAAACTAAACCTGCAAACAACCATGCAGAAATATTTTCAAACTTCCTTATTGAGAAGCAACATAAAACCAGCATATATTGAATGACAGTCTGCTTGCCCTGAGAAAAAGGTTGTTCCTTCAGCACTGGAACTAGTAAGGTTTAGTTTCCTACTGACTTACTTGGTTACTATTCTGATCACCGTATGTCTGGTTTCTTCATGCTTTTCCAGCGTTTCTCTCCCCCCTTCCCCCCCTTTAATTTTTTCTCTCCAAGAACTTCCCCATTCACCTGCCTTTCTTCTTTGACAGGGCAAGTAGCAGCATGTGTTGGGTTTCATTGTTGCTAGGAATGGAAGAAGCTTGAGTTGCCTTTCCATTTGTAGGGGCACTAAACTTTGTACTTTCAAGACCACTGCCCTTCCCAAAATTAGATTGAAACTGGCAGTAGGTTACTTCAGGGGCTTATTTGAGCTCAGTTTCTAAAACCTCATTTCCTTATGAAACAAGTCTTCTGTTCAAAAAAAACCCCGCCAATAATCAAGCAATTGTAGCTATTTAACCGCAAGAGCAATCATGAGTTGCAATTAAATTTATATTTAGTCAAACAAGCTAAACTAAGCACAGTATCTAGACTACAAAGAAGATTCAGAGTAGATGTAATTTATTCTCCTGAATTGTCATGTCAGTTACAGCCCATTTCTGTTCCACCTGTTTTATCTCAAAGATCTGCACTGATAAACAGGGAAGATAGTTAACTGTTATCAGAGAAATATCAACCTGTAATATACAGAAAATAGTGAAAATTGCACAAAACAAAATGACCAGTTGCATTGTCTTTGTTTTTAGGAAAATGTAAATCAAACTAATGGTTTGCTGCCACTTTCTCCTGATTGGTATGTGAATCATACACAGCAGTACGTGGACACTTGAGTTTGCCTTTGAAATGTTTCCGGTATCTGATGATGGGTATACCCCAGTGCCCTGGGCTGCTTTTAACAGTAACACCTAAAGAAATCCAATATGTGCATAGAGTCCCAGCCTGTTGGGACAGGCAATGTTGTCCTTCTTGCCTTGTCCAAATAACGTCATCTTTCAAATTATGTGTGGATACTGAGACACCTATGCACCGTTGGCCCTCTGCCATGCATAAGTTCCTGTGCCGTGTTTCCTGAGCATTGGTAATTTGCATGCCTGGGTGTAGTGTGGCAGACAGAAGTGGCAAATGGTAATGCTCTGGGATCAGAACTAGCTGCAAATGACAAGTGACAGGTTAGTTCACTGCTAATTAGTTTCCCTTGGAAACTGCCCTGGGGAAACTGGCTACCTACTTACCTTCCTCTGCCCACATTTTGATATCTCTTCATAGGATGGCTGCCTGGCTGTTACCTCTCCTTCAAAGGGAATACTAGGAGTAGAAGGTAGGAGAGGGATAAAAAGGAGCGAAAAGGAAAGGATGCAAGCACACAAAGGAGAGGAGGGAAAAGTGTAAGACTTTGAAAGAGTGAAGGCAGAATGGGGCAGAAGTAAGATGCCTAATATTGGTACTTGTTCCACCCCAAGAGAGGAAAGACTGACTTTCATGGAAGAGCAAACAAAAAGTCTGGATTGTTACTTCACAAGCCAGCCAGGTCTGATGCAGTTTTGGCCATTTGAAGTCTGCACAGTGCTCCCTTACCTGTCCTCGCCACATTTAAAAGTGCTTCTTGAAATAGTGGTCTCTGTGTGATCCACACTCTCCCTTCCTGACATTTCAAACTTTGTGGAGAGAACAGTCAGTTCCTCTTTCATTAAAAATAAATAAATAAATAAAAATGAACTCCAGCACCCACACTACGCAAGAGTACATGCTTAACATATATATGCGTGCATTCTTCAGTATTGATGCTCTTGGCCACTTCTTACCTGTTTTCCAGCATAGATCACTGCTATATGAATATGCCATGGGATAGAGTTCCTTTTAAATCCTTGCACAAATAAAAGCTTTTGCATGGCAAATCCATTAATTCTGTCTTTACTTTTGGAGGACTAAAACACATGAGCGCTGGAGAAAACTCTTGTACTGTCTTTATTTGCACTTACACTGAGTTACTGTTTAAAAGTCATTTTTATTTTACAGGTATTTTGAAAAACAATTTGACCTGTCAGAACAGACACAACTGCCCATGTTTCTCCACTGTAGAAACTCACACGCTGAATTTTTAGGTGGGTTTTGTTTGAGAATTTCATACTCAGAGCAAATTCTGAGTAAGAAAAATCTGGAAACCTGAGTCTGTCACCTTTGTCTGTTATAAAGCTGTCTTACATTTTTATTTATTTCATTTCATAGACATAATGAGGAGAAACCGAGATAGATTTGTAGGAGGAGTGGTAAGTATGGACTTCAGTGTAGCATCCATTTTTACATGCATGCATGTGAATATTGTTGCTTAATATGCAACTTGTTGTTTGTCATGGAATCTGGGTAGGCTTCCTGTTACAGGATTTACGTTATTATTAATTAATAAGTGTTTTCCAGTCCCTTCTAGTATTTTTATTTTCGTTGCTTATTCAACAGTTTTTTTGCAAGGTAAGAAGATAGGCTGAGAAAAAGCTCTGCAGCTAACGAGCAGTTTTTCCTGGCCTGTCAGAAGGACAGTTTAAGCACCTTATAATTGACATTGGCCTTTTCCCAGTTCTTCAGTGTCTGTAACAGCAGTGCATTCAGACCACAGCAGACCACAGATAATTTAGATGCATGTTCCCAGTGGAAGCCATAACCTCAAACATTTGCTTCTGACGTTAGACATCATTTTCAAATTAGATCCAGATGTAACTGCTGATTGCTTTATGTCTTTAGATATTCAGATAATGTATTTTAATTCAAAAGTGTAACAGGAAAAACTTTGGATGAAATGATTGAGAAAGTCCAGCAACACTCAGGTTGCCATTATGGGAGGATTTTCCAAAAGTAATAAATGCATGGATTATTCTATCCTACTAACCAGACCACACCTCCTACAATAATATCTCAGTCCCCGGGTTTCCCCTTTGTTACTGCAAAAACCTTCCCCTAGCTCAGTACTTTGCATGTTGTGCTCTTGCATAATACTGTGTAGTCTCTCCTTCCTTCCTTTCTCTTTTCTGTGAAACTGGTAACTAGTAGAGAAATGATGAGCAGGCACCCTCTGCAGCTGGCTGTCCCCCTCACAGCTTGGGGAAGCAGTGTCTTTGCTCCACTCAGGCTGAGCAGCTGCAGTTCCCAGATGCATTACTCTCTTTGTGCCTTGTGACCTACCACTTGCCTCTTTAGGCCCTGGGATGACCAGATAGGCTGTCTCTCTAGTTCCTGTGGACTAAAATCTGTGGAGAATGTAACACTGCTCTTACTATGTCTCTGACAGTGCCCTGTAGGGAATTCTGAGGAAAGAAAGTAAAAATTCAGCATGCACAGAATTGCTTCTTGTGTATGGTCTCCCAGCTGTCAGCTACAGGAAGTTCCTGGGCCAAACGTAGTATCACTGGATAGGTCTTTTCTACACATTTATCACTCGTAAGACGTGGTAACCACTTTTATTGCAGTATTCAAGTGACTTCAGCCTGAACTTTGCCCAAATTCAGAATCAACTGAGCCATGTCTCCTCTTTATGTTTGTATTGATGTGTAATGCATACTAGCGAAAGTATTTCTGACGCAAATAAAAACTAATATGTCCTTTTAAATGATTAGAGTTTTAAATGAAGTACATATATTTGTATATATGTGTGCATCTGTGTTTATATATGTTCTAGGTACATTCTTTTGATGGCACAAAGGAAGAAGCAGCAGCTATATTAGATTTGGATCTTTATATTGGAATAAATGGCTGGTGAGTTCTTTACAAGAAATAAAACTGTTTTAAAGTGTCAGCTGTAATGAACTCATTGCTTTCTTTTAAACAATGAGGTCAGGTTTTCAAAGCTCGCTAGACTCTTAATCATCTGACAGATTTAGAATTGCACTCATTAGTCTGTTAGCCGTAAAAAGTTCTTAACTCACAGCTCAGCAAGTTAATCTAGTCTTATGTCCATTCTACTACCCTCAGGTCAATCCTTGTTTGTAAATAAATAAGGTTGTTGAACGTGGAAGCAGTCCTTCTGAGCAGCGTTTAAAAATAGCGTAATTTCAAGCTGCCATGTCAAATCCAGGATGTAAATGTAACCTGTGCAGCCATATCTACTGGTTACGCAGTCCGGATTCTCAGCGGTGATCTGGCCAAAAGCCAGCCAGCACCACTTTCTAAGTTGCATGGGTTGCCGAGGCCAGGCAAGTACGGGCAGTGCAGGCAGGGGTTCTGCATGCTTACTAGGGTGAGACGGCTTCACTGAGTAACTCTCCAAATTTGCTGTTTTCTGCAAAGTTTGAATTTACAGGCAGCACTTTCAAAAATGAAGCAAATTTTATTCACTAACAGAATTATTTAGGAAGCTGCCTTTGCTGCAAAATGTTTCAACAGGCAAAGTAATTACTTTCATACACTTCTTTTTTTTTTTTAACCAAACTCTGATTTTCTAGTTCATTGAAAACAGAAGCCAACTTGGAAACACTGAAATCAATTCCTAGTGAACGATTAATGATAGAGACTGGTAAGATTTTATATCTTGGTCAGTTTGTGACTTAAACACTATGAGGCAATGAGATATGCTTGTATAGCAATGATGAGGCAGGATCAAGACCTAAGGAGTTCGGAGAAGAAAAAGGACTGGCTGTTTCTCCACTTTGGAAAGCAGTTTACAGGCTCCAGAAATACTCCTTTTCAGCATTCTGGTGGAAGGAATAAGCTGCCATGTCAGTTCGTGACGTTGCAGGGGAAGATGAAAAGGACAAACTGACAAGCCCAGATTTTTAAATGTACCTAGGTACCAGAATGCTGCTTGAATGTCTTTTAAAATCTAGCTTGCTGGAGATGTGTCAAACACAGGGCAATGGCTGTGATCTTGCCACTGGTAGCAGTAACGGCATTTGGAAACAACAGCTCTTTAAATGGAGTAAGGCGGAAGAACGCTTGAATTCCCCTCTTGGCCTAATGAGAAGTGAGAAGTGATTTTAATTGACGGACTAGGGGTGCCTTTGTTTTTTCTTTTGCATGTTCATTTCAGTTATCCATAACTGGCAGTTATAAATAATAGTATTTAATTTCTGAATCTGAGAAAGAAAAACCACAAACTGCCTAAATCCTTAAATTTATTTGCATATGAAGTACAGGCCTGTTAAAGCATACAGGAAGTTTCTGTGGAATACATGCAGTGTATCTAGCTATCATGTTGGAGGAAATAAGTGTTATGTGCTATTATTGCTGATTTTTTTAATATAAAATCTTGAAGGTAACAGTATAAAAATCTAAAGGTTGTGAAGATGTTAAATTGCCCACATCTCTTAAATTCCTTTTTGCATTGGAAGTCACTGCTAGAAAGACATTCCAAGAACTTTTGTCTGTGGAAGTAGTTGATTAAACTATCTCATGCTATTCTGAAACGATTGCATACTCTTAATTCCTTTTTTTTTTTCCCCCACCAAATGAAACTAGATGCGCCTTGGTGCGGAGTGAAAAATACTCATGCTGGATCAAAATACATTAAAACTACATTTCCTACAAAAAAGAAATGGGAAGTAGGGCACTGCTTGAAGGACAGAAACGAACCCTGCCATATAATGTAAGTGTACTACTGTAGTATTCTTTTAAATCTTCCAAATCTCACAGGAAAAAAAAAAAAAAAGAAAAAAAATCAGTTCACTGGAAGTATAGTGTATAGAAATTAATTCTAAATTTACTGAAACTTGTGTAAGGTATTGCTTTATAGGCTGTGGAAAAAATTAAGAAGTCTTAATTTTCCTATTTCAGCAACTCTTGATGTAAAAAGCTCCCTGAAAGTGAAACCAGTACTGTTTTTATCTTTTCACTTGATACATTGGAGAAGGGGTTAAACCCTGTAAAGTAACCTGACTTGCATAAATTTCACTCCATTGTTCCAGTTATTGTTACAACTGATAGAGCACTGGAGCTGTGCAGTCCTCTGCAGAGGGGGCAGTGCTGGGACGCTGAGTAGGGCCTGCGCCTGTGTTCACATCACAGCGCCTCTGGCATGAACTTCCATAACGTATAATAATAATAATGTTGGGTCATTTCTTCATTCTGCTACTGTGCCTAAAAAAAAATTAAGTTTCATAGAACACTGTGATCCTATAAGTTTAGATATGAGGAACAGCAGTCAACATGGAGAGTAGCGAAAGAAAACTCCAGGGGCTTATGGACAGAGTTAGAAAGTACAGAAACCGTTTTCTGCCACCTTTTCACTTGCTTCCTCACAGAGGTGTGAAAAGCAGGGCAGTGTGTCATTGTTTTAGTGAAAATGTTCAGGTATCTCCATTAAATAGCACTGATAGATGAAATGCCTTAATTTTCACAACTGTTACTGAAGTCTGGTCGGTGAGTTATGCCAATCTTCTGAGTCCTCTTCTCGTTATCAACTCCCTGAAAAGAAAAAGGAATTCAGGAAGGTTTCTTCTTGTGCTGTAGTACATTAATGAATTTTCAGCAAATAAAGCTCACAGCTGTACCCATCCAGGTGCAAAGCCCATTTACTTCATCAGAAGCAGGATTTTCTTTGCTGTGAAGTCTGTATGTATTTCTATGAAAAGCTGTGTAAATGACCTGTTTGGAACTAGCTTTTGAAATACTGCTCAGGATAGTACTAAAGAATTTAGGTATTCAGCAAGATGTCTAAACAAGAGTTTGTTTGAGAACTGAAGGGAATTCTGCTGCTTTTTTGGGAGACCTGAAAAAACTCTCTGAAGACAGACCACTGATCATGCTAAAAGCATAGTTTAAGCTTACATGGTGACATCTCCTAGTGTTCAGATGTATTTTATGCAGTTATGTCAATTTGTAATACTCTTTGAAATCAGTGTTATTTGTGTTTTAAAAACAAAGCACACACTAGCATGAAAGGGCTTTTTCAGTATTTTAAGACTTTCTAGGGTCAGTCCATTATTTTTGGAGTTAGGGGAAGAGATCACATGAAAACAGTGCTCTGATCACAAGTGGAGGACCACTGCTGTTGCTGAATAAGGCTATTTCGGCAAGCCTGGATGTGTTAACAACACGCTCCCTGTGTCTTTGTCTGCTGCCTTAGTTGTAGCTTAGAGAAACCCCAGAACTGGACATGGAGGGAGTCTATCCTAGAGCAGTACACAAATGCTATACTTTGGCTTTTGCTTTCTTTTACAAAACAAAATCTTGTTTAGTTCAACCTTATTTCAAAATTACTGTTCCTTTAACATTAATTATAACCTGTACTAATGGTAGATTAGTAACCTGAGAACCTCTTAAACCTTACGAAAAATGAAGTATGGTAACTGAGAATTGGTATTTTGCGACTTCTCAAGTACCAGGATCTGGTGTGAGGAGAAAGTTAGCCTCAGGCCACAAAGTATATTTAATGTCCAGGGTATATATACTGTTTAATATAGCTCAGTTGGCAGGAGGAATTTTCCATTTGTCTTTTTTTCAGTGATGCTGGGCACCTTTCAATTTTGATGGTGGTGTTTCCACTTTATATATTTTAGACCCACACTACTCCCCTTGGAAGATATTTTTTTAAAAAAATTTTAGCCACAAGAGGCTTTTTTTGTTTTAATCCTGCAGCAATTTCATAAACGGCATTACAGTAACATGCAGTATCCTACTGCATCCAAGTGGGGACAGATATGTAAGCCCTAACAAGAGTCTTGAAGGGTGAAATTCTTTGGTATTTGTTACTTATTTCTCCGTAGGCCTGATCTCACCCCATCTCATCTTGAACATCCACTTAATTCAAGAAACTGTTTGGCTGCAAAGTACAGGAGTGGTCATGAAATGGGCTAATTCTGCATCTAGGAAAATATTTGCATTCCAGTAATTGTTAAGAGCAACTTTTTCTACTGTCTTCCTCAAAAAGAAGTTTAGCTATTGCCTAAATTAAGAGGCAAGATCCAAAACCCAAAACCACCAGACCCTACAAACCAAGCTTGAGGTTCTTACTCTTCACCATGAAGTTGTTTTTCTTTTCTACTACTAGAAAAAAACGTAAGTTACTTTGGCAGCTATACTGGCTGTATCTGGAATTTAAGCTTTGCTATAGACCAGTTTATTCATAGTGCGGCTTTAGCCTTGAAAGGCTAATGAATTTCAGTCTGAAAAATGAAGACCATTGATAAACTGATAAAAGACACCCACAAAATGACACTTCCTTTGAAACAGAAAGCTGTTTAATTACCTCCAAATGAGAGTCAAAAGACCAAAGATTAATCTGTACCAGCGAGCAACCAGTGTTCAGTGTGAAGTGCAGTTAGTGACTTAAAACTGAAGCTGTTTGCATATCTGAGCACCTTGCCCTGCTGCTCTCAGCATAGGTTTTTATTCCCAATTAATCTTAGTGACTTGTACATACACATGCAGCAGTCTGAAGTATATTCAGTACTGAGTGTCAGCGTCTTCTAATATCAATCTTTCTTTTTTAGTCAAATACTGGAAATAATGGCGGCAGTAAGAGAAGATGACCCACTTGAGTTGGCCAATACCCTATATAACAACACTATTAAAGTCTTCTTTCCAAGTATATAAAGTTGTTTTTCTTACATTTATTCAGCATAACTTTAGTAAATATATTGCAAAAACTTAAAAATTATCATATCTGCAAGATCATATCAATGGAAGCCACTATGTAGTGCTTGCTTTTTTTTTTTTTTTATGGTACAAGATTAAAGCTGCTTTTGAAAAGGTGGTCTGCATTTGTGCAGTTTCTCAGCCCTGTTTCCCTTTCATCAAGATTCAGAATCGATTTCAAGGACAGCCCAAGCTAGCAACTCTTGTTACTATGTATGTGCGTTACAGGATGAATACCAGGCTGCCGAGTTCACATGTAGAGCACTTCAAGCTACTATTGGTAATTCAGAAGTGGTTAACACATCAATGGCATGCTTCACTACTTCACCAGAAAGCTTAGCAGCTTCATCTTTTGTTCCACATACGCAAATGCTATAACATTAAGTCTACCAACCTAAATTTTTTTTTTTTTTTTTTAAACACAACTCACTAGTTTCTAGCGATAAAGCTCTGCTAATACTCAATTTGTAAGTAAAGCTGCTTTGGTTCAGGCTTTTCGTTTCTGATTTGACCCGCTGAACAGTCTGTTTTCACCAGTATTTTTCATTTGCCTCCAGACCTCACTGATCAGGGATTACTGGTATACAGTCTTTGGCACAGCATTATCACTTCATCAATTAAAGAGTGTTTTTCCAACCATCTTAAAAACGTGAAAACTTTTTATTCCATGTACAATAATGTACATAATTTTAAGGTGGTCATGAAAGAGACCAGCAAAAATTAGAGGTATATTTACAGTAGCACACACCACAGTAAACAACCACCATTCACAGACTCAACATTGAGATACTGCTGTTGTGCTTAAGTACAATAACTACAAAGTGATACTTTTATTCAGTTGAAGTCAATCTTACACAAATACTTCACGGCTTAGTAAAGGACATCTTAATCACCAAGAGAGTCAGAGTCAACATTAAGAGTCTCATTCAAGTGCTGTGCCACACAGTCATCATCTTCCTCATCACTATCGGAACTGTCATTGTCTTCATTTAATTCATTTTCAGCATCGGCAGCTTCTTCTGCAACTTGTACAGGATTTTCATTTGGTGGCACAAACCCGTTGTTGTTAGAAATATTGGCATTTTCCTTGTCCTCAATATACACTTTCTGATGGCACATCGGGCAAGTGTCCTGAATGTACAGCCACTTCCGAAGACAAAGTGCATGAAAGTAATGGTTGCATGGAGTAATGCGTGCAGAGGTGGTGAACTCATGGTAGCAGATTGCACATACATCATCTATTTCATGTAACCGACTTCCTTTTACCTCTGGAAGCGAGTTTATTTTTTTAACAGCAGTCCGGCGATTTATAAAAGTCTTCCAGCCATTCTTTGCTTGCAAGTAGATGTTGAAGTATGCATGTAGACACATCATGCACGCGCGAATCTTGCTTCCCGATTCAAAAACCATCGTGTAAGCTCCGTTTCCAAACATGATTACTCCAAATATAAACTCAATAATATTGCCGGTTGAACGAACATAATAGACATAATCATCAAGTTTTTCCCATAGCACATTATAGTAGCCATCAATCATAAACAATATATAAACAGTGATAGAAACTATAACTTTTAGGCAAAGCTCTACACAGAACGCTGTAACTGCAAAAAGCCACGTATTTAGTGCATAGTGGTGCCAGAGGATGTAACTGAGCAGAACTGGAAGGATGAAAAGGCAAGCGGAAACAAACAGTACGGGGAAGTGTCTGCGAAATGATGACACATGGGAGGCACTGAGAGACATCAGCACGGGGTCTGTCATTCCATGGATAAAATGTAGGACTGCGGTTAACAAAAGGCACATGTTTCGACTCAGGCGAACTAATCGTTCGTCTGGTTTCAGTCCACTTAGACCGGTCTGCAGAGCCAAAATGAAAAACAAGACAGGCGCTACAAAACCGAGCCTTTTGTCATCCTCATCAGTTGATCCGATGAAGGCCAAGATACCAAGTCCCAAATAATGCGCTATTGAGGAAATGACGGCACTCATGCCTAACACAGTTAAAGTGGAGTCACACCCACTTATGATCAGACTGCAAATCAGTTCCCAACAGTTATCCCACGATATCAAGAAGAACTTTTCTTCTGCATTAGTTTCAGCCATCTTTACAACATACGTTAATACCACAGCTTGTGCTGTAAGTCTCGTTAGCCAGAAGACACGCAGTACAGCTGGAAACCGAATCCTTTTCCATGTATCTTCCATCAATAGCTGTAATCCATAAATGCGATACATGTGCCTCACCAGCAGATAAACATATCGCACTGAATAATAGAACCATTTAATTTTCGTAACTAAAATGGCTGTGGTATTTAGTGTCAGAACTAGGCCTGAAATAAAAACTAGGATCTGCCGGACATTTAAAGGTAATTCAACAACCAAGCCGACTACAGGAATCAGTATATCCAGGATGATGAGTTGAGAGTATACGGACTGCACGTTTAGCAATGTAACATAGCCGATTCCAAAGGTAAGCTGAAGGATGGAAAGCGCCATCCATAGCGAAGGTCCTTTATGAGGGAAGATCTGAATTCCGAACGTGGCTGTGTAGTAGGCACTGTAGAAGTTTATGTGCAAAGAAGCATAGTAATTCACCAACACTGAAGTCGCAGCCAGCAGAAATGCCGAGGCGATCATATAAAACTTGAAAAGTGCTCGCTGCTGTAAGACCAGAACAACACCGGATACAAAGACACCTAAAAACAGATTGAAATCATTTAGTTCTCAGCAGAAATTCAACAGCAGATTTCAACCTATTAGCTCTGGAGCTACATTTATTTAATGTATCACTTCCCAATTAGTCACTCGTAACTTTACATTACTGATGGTGCCCTTTTCAAAGAACAGACAAGAGGACGACTTAATCTCTGCCTTTAATACATCTGTGCACTGCAGCTGCGATGCAAAGCCAATGCCAGCATTAAGTCACAATTACCATTAACTTCATCTGTAGTTTCAGACTAGAGCAGTGACAACTCCCAGCCTTTCAGCCTTAGTCTTGAAATCTAAGGGTAGACAAGTTCTAAAAGCAGAAAAGAATTACCAGATACAGCATCACCTTTATGGGAAAAGTTAATAAGGAATAAATGAGTAAAATTTACTAAGTCCCCTAATTCACTTGAGCAAAGCACTCAACTACAGATGTCCAAGTTGGGGTATTAAAGATAACCATCATCAAAGCAGTTTAGCTAAACCTGTAATGGGAGAATACTGAAAAATTGCTGTAGTTTACTAGGAGGCAGGCGCTCTTCTTCCAGTTCCCTTCAGTTCGCTTTCATTTCTGATAAGGCATCCTGAAACAAAAGTCTCATGGAGAAGACCTTCCGCAGTATAAAGCTTTTGTACACAGAATCCAAAACTGCACCAGTCGCCTCTTTGCCAATGCCAGTGTGAACTTGTGTCTTACTTGCTAGAAGTCAGATTTAGAGCCTGAAATTCCTGTTTGCTAACCTTTCCCTCACACTGACCATGAACACATCTTGACCATGACTGGAAAGTCTGTACCTTCCTATGAGAAACCCTATCGTAGCATCTACAGTACCTTGGTATTACATTTATGACCTTGTTGTAAACTCCTTCTGTAGCGTAGCTTATGAATTTCATCACTACGTACTACATAGGTAAGGGCTTCCCTAACAGATGTTAAATTAAATGGCACTTATCGCTAGATCCACTTCCTTAAACAATTTTTTTCTTCAGGAAACACACTGCCTTTGTTTTGGCCTTCTCAATCAGCTTCTAGTCTATGCAACTGCTTTCTCATCCGAACCAGTTTGGAGAGATTTCGAGCTCTGCAACTTGTATTTGATTGTAAGTTGCTTTCAGCTTCTGTACTAAAATGAATGAAATCATGAGTAATCCTCTTTCTATTGGAGGACAGCATCAGCCTTTTCTGAGGATTGTATTTTAGATTGTTCCAAATCCTCCATAATCGAGTGTTTAAAAAAAAGTATTTTAAGCCATGGTATCTTGATCATGGGAATAAAAAACTTTGCTAAGAACCAGCATTTGATTCCAGCAGTAGTGTTGCCAGCTGCTTGTATTAAAAAAAAAACCCAACAAAACCCAACCAAACCCCAAACGAAAAACACCCCCACCCTGGAGGACTGAATAAGGAGGGAGAGGGTCAACTTGAATCAATAGCAAAAGGCAAACCACAAAAAAGTTATTAATGCACCTTAACAGTATTCCTTGCCAGCAGCATTGGCTGATAGAAAAACAATCTCCTTAACTAATCATTAACCTAGTAACCTTGTGAAGTTGACTAAGGAAAAGCCTCAACCAGTTTTCAGAAAGCACCTTGTATCACAGCTCAGTTCTTCCATGAAAAGCTGAATATTCATTACATACAGCACTTTTTTTTTTTTTTTTTTTTAACATAAGCGTGACAATTTCACTGCCTTTTCATGCAATCCCACCATAAACACCTTTGGGAAAGCTAACACTGCTGACAAGTTTGTACCCTTTGTCTTTTCTCAGAAGTCACAGAAAAGGCTCAAATGCCTGTAACAAGCTCATTATTTACGTAATTCTGATCATTTGAGCCAAACGAGATGCATTTTGCACTAAGCAGGCTGCTCTGAAACACGCCTGGAAGCAAAACCTAGTTTTCTTCCTTGCAGTTGCAGTAACAGGCCTGTATTTAGATACTATAGGTCATCTTAAAACACTGACGTTTCACGTGCAAGACACATCCCTAAAAACAGTACGCCAGTGAGTCAATAGAAAAGCTAGACCTACTGGTTCCTCTGAAGAAGGACTAACAAAAGGTAAAGAAAGCATTTCTCTGTCAGCACTTGTGTGGACAAGTCAAGACCAACCCCCCCCAAAAGGAACCTCGAAAGACCACAGGAGGTAACTTAAATCTTGGAAGGGGAGCCGAGCACTCCTCTCCCCCATCTCCACTTAGGTCATTCAGGCCATCCTGCCATGACGAGACTTCCCCCTGCCCTGCAGAGTGTTCACCAAGCAGTAAATCTTTTCCCATTTTCCCTCTGATGGGAAATGCTGCAGTTCCTCCGTTGAGATTTGTCTCGTGTTTCTGTATATACTGCTGCCCATCTTTACTGTTCCTATCTGTGCCACCAACTGTCTCCAGTATGGCCTCCAAACACAGCATTTAATCAAACCACACGCATTTACTTTTCAAATCAGTTCCTGTGTTACAATGAATCCCTCCCTCTCGTTTTTTCCTTTAACTCCTGCAATTTGTCAGTATCTTTATAGTTAAACACACTACCTAGGATTCAACTTCCATCACGTGGAACTGCCAAATTATTATTTCCCCTAGCCTCAGCCATTCTGCTTGCTTCCACATCTTTCTACAGACTACAGTATTTATAGTAACCTTCTCAAAAATCAGTGTCCTCGCCGAGGAGGGACTGCTGGCTGGAGTAACGGTTTCACGCTCCGGGGGGTGGTGGTTCTGCTAGAACCCAGACGCTTAAAAGACACCCATGCAAGGGTATGAAAGGTGAACCTTGTGCTGGAGATAAAGCAAGGTTAATCAAAAAGGTGAAAGAAAAATTGCGCTCCAGTTGTAGAACTTGGTTCTGTGCTGTGTCTATGTACTTGCAGAGAAAGTAAGTGATCAAAGAATCAGACCGAGGAATCCTGCAGTAAAACTTTTTAAAAATCATACAGAACTCTGTTAGCATTCTCGAAGAGCTGTGCTTGCAGAGCATTTCAGAACTGTTTAACATCACCCCTGAAAGCTGGCCAATCTCTCCAAAGCTACAGTCTTTGTATCTCGAGGACAAGCTCTGTGTTTATCCTATGCTAACTAGTATTGTGCTACAGGAAAAACTGGGATCAGTCTTTCAAAGCCTGCAAATGCTAACTAAAAGGGCAACTTCCCCACTATTTAAATACAGAATGATCCAAAATAAATAATTTCAGTTTATCCTAACAGCAAAAACCCAACCCTGCAATCCTCAAATTCAGATGACGAAAAGATAGATGCAAAAGCTCTCTGTTGTCTGAACCACATACAAGGTCTTTGTCCCTGCTCATTGCAGGGGGGGTGGACTAGATGACCTTTAAAGGTCCCTTCCAACCCAAACCATTCTATGATTCTATGACATCATCTTTAAGTGGTTACACTTTAATTTTTCTTGAATTTTGGAAAGCCAAGACCCAGAGACCGCTTGTCTCAAACGTACAAGCTAAGTCCCTTGGCATAAACTGTTCCCAAAGCTCTTTTGCGTGCGGCAGGGGAGGGATTACCTGCTTCTCCCCCAAACCCTTCCAGAAAAGCGATCATACGAATGCAATCCTGAAAAGCACCTTAACCTGCGACTCCCAATGTCACACGCTTCAGGGTGATATTTAACCACTCTTCTCAGCTTCCTACCCCAACAGCCGTTATCACCTATTTCCTTTTTTTCCCTATTTTTTTTCCCCCTACTATAAGCATCAAATAAAACACGAAATCAACACGTCACAGGCCTGCGAAAAACTCTTGCTGCGCTTGGGATTCTCCCTTCCTTCCTGCCTCGGGATTCCCAGCTCCAAGGCGCGATGCGGGACCAGGCTGCAGCCCGGCTCAGGCTGCGTACGCACCCAAGACTACAAGCAATGCTGAAAATAGTATCGCCTAGTTATACCAGGGATTTTCAACCTTTCCTTTTTCAAGGAAAAAAAGCTTAAAAATAACCATCGGCAAATTTCAAGAGACTTCTCTTTCATTTGGGAACCAAACTCCCGGCATTTCTGAACTGCTGTAGGGCTTTAACAGCGTATTTCAGTTGGACAACGCACTCTACAACTGCTTTTTACCAAAA